TGTACACCAGAAATTGACACAACATTGTAAACTGACTATAACTCAATTGAAAAAAATAAGTCATTGGCAGGCAGCTATAGTGAAGACTGGTACTTAGAGGGGAAGGGTAATGCAGACACGCACACAGGCACACACACAGACGTGTGTTATTTTGGGAGTGGTGATAGAACACTGAGATGAGTTGGAGAGGAAGAAAAGCCAGCAAGGAACTGATTCTAAAATATGGGTAAGTTTTCTCTGTAGGGGAAGTAAAGGACACCTTCTACCTGAAAATATTTGTGGTCTGGGAGAAGAGAAGTAGAAAGCCCAGTAAGCAAAAGGAGGAATGAAACAGGTCACTTGTAAACTCGTGCTAAAAAGGCTTAGTTTTCCCCACAGGCCTACAGTTTTGATGGGAGCTTCCAAGATAACATCTCGAAGGTGCTGTTTCTCCACTTATGGGCTGAGTAATTACCCGTGATGCCTTGCTTCTCACTCCCAACCGTCTCTCACTCACCTGAACACAGGCCTCTCGTCAGCTCTCTGCCAACCATCCAGGGCTCTTTCCCTTGTTCCAATAAGGAGATAACTTGAGGCTTAGGAATGTAAAGTCCTGCTCACAAGAAAAGATACGGAACATGGTTATGCTGTGGGTAAATCAGATCCAGAAATAAGATCCAGTCCCTTGATGATCAAGGAAGAGATGCCACCACAGGAACAGTCAAAGGAGGAAGAAGAGGCTCAGCCACGGCCAATTGGAGGTGCCCATTTCCCACTCTTCCTTATCATTTCAGCTCAAACCATTCATTTGGGGACAGGGAGCAAAAACTCAGCCGGTAACTCGAAAAGCAGATGAGAAAGTCAATGCAGAGGAAACAAAATTGCCAAGGAGAACTCTAAGTTCCTGGTACAGACGCCCTTACCCATGGACACCAGGTTGCTGTAGTTCTCCAACATGACATCCTTGTACAAGTCCCTCTGAGCAGGGTCCAGACATTCCCACTCCTCCTGAGAGAAGTCTACAGACACATCACTGAACACCACTGGTCCCTGAAACAATAAACTGTATTACCTGTGGTCACAAAATAAACATCATGACTGTCATGCTTGCATTGTGGGGTAAAGCGAATGAGCAATTATACTGGTATCACTGAGAACCAGAATCTCTGGATCCTAGAATTAGATGCAAGAGTTATCAGTGTATTTTATATTAAAAAAAATTTGACTCAGTCCACAGAAAAGGCCTTTTAACCCAGTGGCAATGAGCATCCCTACTATCTAGATTGTAACCTCTAAGTACCATATTCAAATAAAAAGGAACCAAAGTTCTTTGGGGAAAGGGACAATTTCAGGATTGAATCAGAAATACACAGAATGAGTCTGAACATTCTGCTATATCAGAAAGCAAGAGAGTGATCAAAAACTATTAGAATCATATTAAAAGGGCTTGGGAGACAACTTGAAGTGCCTCCCACTGGCCAAAGATGATATAAAGTGAAGAGGAAATATAATGGACTGATCAGACCAAAAATACTTAAATCTATGAGTTCATAACTATACTGAATTAAAAAATCACTAGTTATCTTTATAGAAGTCTAAGAAACCAACTCATTATTTTAAACACTGGAAAACAAAGGGCAAGAATCAAACATCCGTTCCCATACAAACTGTCTTTCAGGGTAACCAAACAGTTGATAAGACATTTAACTTTACAGATAGTACTCTACCTAATCTATGAAGACGGAATGACAGAATTAAAACATCATTTTGAAACCACTAACGAATTAATGAATCTAGACAATAATAATCATTGGTGGTTAACATTAAAAAAGGAAAGAGAATCAGAAATAACATGTCTCCTAATGGACTCACACATCACCACCTATGAAATATTCTTGACAAAAAAATCCCAACTGAATCTGATCAAGTTTCTAGATCTAATGAGTGATTTGCAGGAAAGACTCAGATGATACCACAGAGAAGAAATCAGCAAAATCCAAACAGTGGACAAATCAATTTTTTCTTTTCGAACAACAACAAACTAAAAACTGCACAGATAGAAGAGAGACGGAAGGGGTACCTACAAAGTAAGAGATTCAAGAGACATATCAACCAACTACAGTGCACAGTCCTTATCTGGATTCTAATACAAATAAATAATTAAAACATCAGACAATTATGAAAATGTGAACACGGGATATTGATGACATTAACAAATTATCTTTAACTTTTTCAGATGCAATAATGGCATAAGGAATCTTCTTTTAAAAAAGAATCCTTATCTTTTAGAGTTACATACCAATTTCCTTCAAAATAATCCTATGTGTGGGAGTGAGGGTAGGCAGTGTGCATGGAAGAAACAGGAAGAGGCATGCATGAAACAAGACTGACTGTGAGTAGATAATTATTAAAACTTAATGGTGAGCATATGGTAGCTCATAAGACTACTCCACTTTTCTGTGTCTGGAATTTATTATAATAAAGTTTTCTAAAGAGGGGTGGTAGAGAATAGTTGCAAACGTGTATATAGCATTGATTTAAACAAAATTGTGATATAACTCTGTTGTGAGGAAAGGCAGTAGAGAGTGAGATATAGCATATCTAAATCCACACACACCTTGCAAGTAAAAAACTAGAAAATGTCTAAAAATTAATTAATCAAGAAATAGCATCATAGGAATATTAATTTAAAATACAGTTAAATTCACTGGATACCGCTAAAAGAGATGAGTGCCTGCCTTTATGGAGTAGGATGAAGTGGTGAGTCCAGAAACTTGATCAGATTCAGTTGGGATTTTTTTGTCAAGAATATTTCATACGTGATGATGTGATTCCATTAATGCTCCTTGAATTATTAACATGTAAAATTGAATCCAC